GCTGCGCCGACGCTCCCGCTCCTTGTCCCGTTCCCGGCTCCGGTCCCGCCTGTCGCGCTCCCGTTCCCGCTCCCTGCAAGGAGAGGGGCCCGTGGGCGTTAACAGCGGGCCCAGCCTGCGCGCCCCATCAGCTCTGCAGCCCCTCCCGCTCCCAGACAGGCCCACAATACTCCCCACTCCCACAGTGCACCTAGAAAGCCCCACCCCTCCGGCCAGCAGGGGCACTGCAGACACTCCTGCAGCCCTCCGCACCCAATGGGGGCTGCCCCCCACTCACCGTTCATCGTATCTGGAGGTGTCGTCGCGGCCAGAATGCCTGATGTTGACGTCGGCACCACCCCTCCGGGTGCCCCCCAAGCCACCGCCTACGAAGAAAGCGGAGTTATCGAACGCCGTGGCCCGGGAGGGGCCTGCAGGGCTCCCCACTCTGTGAACGGGACCAAATCAACACCTGCCCTGGCCTTGCCCGTGGGGGCGCTGAGGGGGGCAGGGCAGTGGCAGCAGGCGCCATGGGGCAGACTCCTTAGAGCGGTGGTCTCCAACCTTTTTACACCCAAGACCACTTTTTACATTTCAGAACAGGGAAGATCTACCGCCCCGCCCCTTCCTGGAAGCCCCGCCCTCTCTATTCTCCTCCTGTCCATCACTTGCTATCCCCAGCCCTTACTTACACACTCTGATAAACAGTTTATTTTTAAATTATGCGATACATACAATTAAAATAACGTGTTTATAGTTATGAAATAAATGGTCTGTTTTTATTCATGCTATTTAAATCTAAAATGAAGCATTTATAATTATACATTTTTGGGGACAGTACTGCGGCTGGGGGCAGGGGAGAGGGAACAGGGTGCTGGGAGGGGAGAGGACAGTGTCCTGCAGCAGGGGAGAGGGCGCCAGTGGGCACAGAGTTCAGGAAGTGGGGACGGGAATAGGGACAGAGTTCTGTAGCTGGGGACAGGAGAGTGGGGACCGAGTTCTGTGGCTGAGGCCAGGGGAGTGGGGACAGCATTCTGTGGCTCGGGAGTGGGGGCTGGGGAGTGGGGTCCAATGGAGGCAGAGAGTCCCCTACATCTCCCTCCTCCCAGCATTCCCCCCCTCCCCCGGAAACCAGCGTGTGCCTGCCCCGGGGCCGACACCCCCCAGGGAAGCCCTGTGCGCGCGCCTTCCCAGGGGGCCGACCCCCCCCCC